CTTTTACTACCAACAATGGCCGAAACATTATTTTATTGAACTAAGCATAGAAGAAACGGCGTTCATTGTTGTACATTTACGGCTAACAATCATACAAGTCGGTAATTTGAAGCAAACGGCATGTCGTAAATTAAATGTAAAAAAAGTTCTGCGTATTGGAAAACACTCGAAAAATCTCCACATGAACAAATAAGGAATAATAGAAAACAGCAACCAAGAACGGAATCATTTAGGTGAGAGAAAATAGCAAAAATCGGCGGGAAAAAGTGTTGTAAAGTGAATGGTAAACTATAATCGCCTTGGCGACAGTATTACCAGCGATAACGTTATTTTTGAGGCAACTCATGGTTGGCAAAAAATATCATTTAGTGGCTACTTTTACTAATCTCTCTATATAATATTTAATTTATTCCATTTTTATTAGTTACATATATGTATTTCGAAACGCAAATCTAAAATAAATAACAAGAAACATCAAACAATGTAAACATCATTTCTTCTAGAAGAATAAAACCTAAAAAATATCTAAGCAACAGTAGAACAAAGTTTTCAAAATAATGAAGAGATTAAAATTGAAAATATAATATTTAGGTTTGGCATTAATACACAGTACTAGTATATAAGAAAGAAAAGTAAAATTATATGAACATTATTCTCTACCTAAATGCTTACCTATATAATTACTTATGTACATTAGCCACATTTTTAGATTCAATTATAATCCATTAATTTGTTACACCCATTGAGCATCATCGCTCATCCGTTTCCGGTGAAATAATTCATGGCGGGATTTACTGTGTTCTGTTCAAAACTAAAAACAAACCGCAATATAGCACAGTAAGTGTGCGAAATATCAATTAAATTACAATGTAGAAAAACAAACCGGTACACTGGCGAGAAATAAAAAATGTGTTTTCTAATTCAAAGCGATTCGTGTATATGTCGCCTATATCTCTTCATGCTAGTTGAAGCAGATAATTTCAATAAAATGAGCAGCTATTTTCAAAAAAATATGTTAAGAGCGTTTATAGACACCAGTTTTACATTTCAAATTATGTTTTTTGTCTCATTGCCACTGTAGATGGTATACCATTGATAGCGGCGCGATGTAGTACCTGACAAGTCCATTTGTTTTCATTGGCACTGCCACTATTCGCGACGTTTTGCAGTGCGTTCTATAAATAAGTGAATTTATTCAAATGCAGCTAGCGCAAAACGTTGGGGAGGTGGTAATATATACTGTTAGCCATTAACACATTTATTATACACACATAAAATACGCACACATACTATATCGCAGGAAGCGCACCGATTTGTTTGTGTATATAAATAATTTGGGATGCTAGCAATTTATTGTGTTTAACCAAAATTTACTTGTTTATTTGCCACACATTCGCATAAATATTTGCGTTGATGTAAAATTTGTGACTACATTTGCGTTATCGCATAATTAATTTATACTATGTCTATATATTTTATGATGTAGTAAACAAATATTACGGTATGTTTACAATATCTACATATATATACCTATATGTATATATACATGTGTTAAGTGGCGGTTGTTTCATTTCCATTTGTGGACAACCGTTTTTGAAATGTTCTAGCAATCGAGTCACTACTAACCCGCTACGATTAGGAAAATAAAAAAAATTGCTTTTTATAAATATTTAGTCGAAAGTGGACAAAATATTCGTTCCAAGGTCTGTGAGGTATTTGAGATGTATTGATTATGAATTTGAGCTCATTATAGTAAATGGTGGTGATTTGTCCTCTACGCCCCTTAGCTACAACACAAAAAGTCTAAGGTGTCAGGAAATTTTTACTAATATTTTCGAGTTTAGCAAGAGCCTCTAGCATCACAGCTACAAAATGAATGTAAAGTAGGGAAATTCGTTGTTTAAAGGCCAAGGCGGCTACTAAAACCAATATAATTTCTTAAGCCATGATACTAGCATTGGTTCACCCCAGCGTCAACCACTACTCGTATAACTTTTTCAAGAAAATGGCCTGTCGTCTATAAGCTTTTCTTATAGTAAAATTTTACGTTGGTTGGATTGTAAGCCGATACAATATTCCCTACAATAACAGTACAATTTGTACTTAAGTATACAAGAAGGCATTAATGCCTCTACCCAAACGTGCATATGTATGTATGTACATACATGAATACATGTGAGCTGATGCTATTGCCTCAGTGAACGTAATTTCTAATTAGAGTCAATTTGCTGAGTAATTAAATTGATTTTTCCGCACACAGCACATACATACATATATTACAATAAGGACTTACATGGTCCATTTGACTCATGGGCAATACATATAACTGTGGGAACCTGAGAATGTAATATGAAGCTATGTACAGTTATATAGTTAAACAGTTAGATAGCAATATAAAAACGCGTAATAAAAGAAATTCAAGACAATTTGTTTTAATGAAGTCAACCGTTTGTACTTTATGTAATCCAAACCTCATGTGGCCAATTAAAAGAAAATTACCTTAGATTTGTAATAAAAATGTGATATAAAGTGTAATTTGTTTCAAAACAAAATCGTAACTAAAGTCGTTTACATTTATATTATATTAAGGAAAGTTTTTTCTCATAAATTTTGAGAAGCCCTAACAAAAATACACCACAAAGTAGGAGACACCCTTTAGTAGGAAGATTGCGTTTCGTCCATTCATTAAATTGCAGTGAGTGGGCTGTCTAAAGTTCAAGGCATAGGAAAAAATAACAGCCACCATAGAGCTGAAAATGAATTGTGGTGAAAAATTTTGGACTCATCTGCTCAATAATTAAGCGATAAATACGAATTAAATTGGAAGAAAATTTCATCGATGAATTCTTAACCTTTCTTAACTCAGTTTCGGCCGAATTCAACGTGCTAGTTGCGGTTCTGAGGAATTTATAACAAATTTCACTGTTTGAATACTTCATTGGTTTGAGATTTTCAAACGAGAGCGGACCCCTACTAGAATAAAACTTCCTCAGCAGGAGAAAGAAAGCACACAGCAAAAATTCATGCTTGGATTTCTGCTAAGACCTTTACTCATTTTTATTGACTTACCCAAAAGTTCACCGTAGGCTAATGCCAGTTTCATTATTTCAATTATTATTTACGATGCGGCGTGAGTAGGTAAATACTAACGGAATAATTTTGAACGCAATTTCAATTAAGTTAATAAATTCATTACATACTTATTATTTTTAATTATTAATTTTCTGTGTAACAATGGCGGCTACATTCTCCATTAATAAACCTGAGTTATGTATATAGTACATGCATATGTACATATATGTGGCACAACTGCACCTACTTATGCAAAATGTATTATCCGAAAATGGTCAGAACAATGCGGGCCGATGTCAAAAGCCAAACCGCACATAATTCGAGTGACATAAATTGCATTATTACTAACTAGTATTAACAGCTAACAAAATGACAGCCAGCATACACACCGGGATATACTCGTGTTTCAGTAGTGGCTAACTGTAAATAATGAAAATGAAAACACGGTAAACATCACGGTGTTTGATATGTGCATTAATATGATTTCTTTTGCTTTTTAGGTTAAGGAAAAAAGTTCCCACGGCATTACTCATAACTATGGTAGATTACAAAATCCAACGTAACATTTAATTATATTTACAAACAGCATGTAATGAGTGCCGAAATGTGCATATGCATGCAAACCTACATATAAACAACTAAGGAGGGTTAGCCCCTCGGTTCGGTTATAACATACTTTTGAAACTTTCAATGATTAAAACCGGTGTAATATAAGACTTATTAGTTACACGAGGACTAGAGCGACCTGATTTTATCCGTTCTAAACACAAAAACGCACCGTTATTAGAAAAGGACGCTCTCTGAATTTTATTAAGATAACTCACATATTGGCCGATATATACGGTATAAAGTCGCCCAGAAGTTCGAAAGTACATATATATTAGGCTAAGGGAAGTATCAAAAGAGATACATCAGGAATGGATTATCTCCACATTTCAATTAAATATCAATACAATGGCCGATATTTTCGGTTAAATGTCAACTTTAGGCTTTGGGGACCACATATTCGATACGCAGGTTTTTTGCCAAGGAACGCCAAATTTCATAAAAATATCTCAGTTTTTACTCGGGTTACAGACGTCCCGAGATCTCAACTTACCTCATCATCCTGACATTTATATATATGTATATAACATTAGTTTTAAGTAATACGTACAGTCGTTAGGTGGACAAAACTTATACTCTGTAGCAACATGTTGCAAGAGTATAATAAACAGAGCATAAAAATTCAATAGCAAAACGAAACTGCTTTTGAATTACGTATGAAAATGGCCTTCTTATCACAGAAAACAAATCTGGAAGAAGAACAATGTGTTTTATTTGGCTTTGCCACAAGTGGTGCTCTTGACATTGCAACAAAATTATGACTAGACCGTGAACACGTGAAAACGTGTTAAAAAACATACAAAGTATGAATACAATGGTTGACACAAGTACATATGTATATGTTTATATATACATACGTAAAAATATATATGTAGATGTTTATGTAAATACTGTTTACGAACAAAACTACGGTCTCATGCCAAAATCTATACAATAGCAAGTAAATGAAGCGGCTGAGTAAAAAATATATTTTTATGTATGTATGGAAAGCTTTGAAATATTTTCGTGTTGAGTGCGACTTAAGAGCAGCCGAAGTGGACACTTCAACTTCAAATTTTCAACTGGAGCAATTGAGCTGCAAAGTTTGTTGTATCGATGAACAGTGAGCTATTTTGTTGTTATTGTTGCTTTTATTTAACTTAATTTTGCAATAGCCGAATGAGTTGAATTTTCAGCTTTTATCGATGAATTCTTCCTTTTTACGTTGGTTTATGCCTTTTCAACTGGAATTTGACTTGATATTGACTATTTATTTTTAAGTAATAATTTTGAACGTCATATTTTAGTATAAAAACCTTTGCATTTGGCGGTAATGATACCATTAACAATCTGTTGGTTGTAGCGGCAAGTTCACAAAACATTGAAATTCAATAAAAGTCGAAATAAATTGTGTGTGCAGCAATAAAAAATGGTGTGTAGAACAGAGATCTTAGTTAAAAGTGTATTTTGAAATTCAAATTGGAAAGTTTTCAGTTCAAAAATATAAAACTCCAGCAAAAAATTAGAACATTTAAGCAGTTGGAAATATGAAATGTCTAAATCTTGTGTTATTATAAAAAAATAATTAAAACAAAAGGAATAAAATATAAAAAACTGATTGAAAAATTAAAGCACAAAGGAAAAATACTAAAAAGAACTTCGAAAAATATAATAAATAGATAAACCGACAACTATTTGATTACTACATTTAACACCTTTTTCTTCTGCAGAAATTCACTCTGGTAACTTGTTTAGTGCTTTCTACAGCCACAGCGATTGCTTCAGCATTGCCGCATCACCGCTTGCAGCGCGATGTTCCGGAGTTGGTAGCGGCACAGCAACCGGCCTATAATTATCTGCCACCTGAGCCTAAAATAGCACTACCCGCAGATATAACAGCCACCACTGAGGCTATCATTGCTGAAACTGAAACGCCCGCTGACAACGCAGAACCCTTACCAGAAAGCGCTATACTCGGTGCCGATGGTTATGAATATCGCGCTGTACGCCGTCTGAAATATCGTCAACGTGTACGTCGTGACGTCTCACACTTGTCACCAAGCTACTTGCCACCCCGCCAATCATATCTGCCACCAAATGCCGATGATACGGTTGAGTTGAATGCAGCCGTCCCGAAAGTGGCTCCAGTCTACTTGCCACCTCCGGCAGAGGAAGTGAGCACAGAAGTACCAATAGTTGTGGAAGAAGTCGAGACTGAGCCACCGGCAGTACCCGAAGAAGAAGTACAGCAGCAGCAAGATGAACATGCCCAACCAGAAGTGCATTCACAGGAAGGAGAAGAGGAAGCCCCTCAAGATAGCGGTATTTTGATGAATGATGGATATCATTACAAGCAACCCGCCGAAGAGATGGCACTCCCGAAGGCAGTGGACAGTGAGTACTTGCCACCACTGGAGCAAGGCCAGACTGAGGCTGAAGGTCCCGAGGAGACGGCTGTATTGGCCAAGGATGGCTACCACTATCGCGCTATTAAGCGTTTAAGATTGTAAAAGTTTTACTACTTTAATTGTAAAAAGAAAATAGCACAATTTATTAATTTGTTTATTCATTGAAGTATTCCCACATTAAATTCATACATACATACTTATATGAATATACTTTAATTATTTAAAAAAATATATACTTGCTTTTTTATTTATATCTCGGATGAATGAAGCCATGTGTCGAAGCTCACGGAAGTGATTAAAGTTCTCTGAGCCCAGTCATTTGAGCATGGCTAGGAATTAATAATTTACATATGGCTCATACCAATCACGGGTCGTTCGCTGTGTTTGGGACCCGCCAAGTAAAAAAAAACGCTACCAATGAAAAAAAGAAAACAGCCTGGGACAGCGAAGTAAATGGGTTTGGTAGTGAGCAAGAGCAAGGAGAAATATTTTCCGTTATCAAACTAACAGTCGTCGCATTGGACTTTACCTCCCACACACTCTTGATAATTTCATCTATTTTGGAACCAGCATTAACAGCAACAACAATGTCAGCCTCGAAATCCAACGCAGAGTAACTCTTGCCAACAAGTGCTATTTCAGATTGAGTAGGCAATTGAGAAGTATAGTACTCTCTTGACGAACAAAGATCAAATTCTATAAGTCACTCATCACTCCCGTCTTGGAATGCAGAGGCATGGATGATGACAACATCTAATGAGTCGACGTTGCGAGTTTTCGAGAGAAATGTTCTGCGAAAGATTTATGGTCCTTTGCGCATTGGCAGCGGCGATCGTCGCATTCGATGGAATGCAGAGCGATGAGCTGTATGAGTTATACGACGACATCGACATAGTTCAGCGAGTTAAGAGACAGTGGCTACGCTAGCTAGGTCATGTCGACCGAATGGATGAAAACGCTCTAGCTCTGAAAGTATTCAACGCAGTACCCGGCGGGGGAAGCAGAGGAAGACCTACACTCCGTTGGAAAGATTAGGTGGAGAAAGGCCTGCCTCCACTTGAAATCTCCAAATGTCACCAAACAGCGGGAAGGAAGAACTATTGACGAGCTGTTGTAAACTCAGCTATAACCGCATATGCGATGTCTGCGCCAATAAAGAAGAAGATATAAACCCTCATACAAAATACGCTAAAGTAATCATCAATTGTTGACAACGGGACGACATAATAATACTAAGTTTAACTTTAACTCGCTTTAAGCACCATTTTCAGCAATTTTAGTATCGCAGTTGAAAAATTGGATTTCGTAAACAGCTCTCGTCTCTGTATAACCAATAAACAGAGAACCGGTAATAGACTATGATACAATGCGTCCTAAATTAACGTTGTAATTTTGTGGTTATCCTGAAACTGGCATAATAACGCTCGAGCTCCTGTTGCAAGATCGTTTTAAATATTTGCAAAACAGCGACTGAGAAGTTTTGTCTCACTCGCCTTATGGGCAAGAACTCGTCTCATTGGTTGCGGAGAAATTGCAGGATGTCGTGGACCTTTTTGTCACAAATAGCTGAGTTCTGCTTTCGTTAAATTAAAGCAACAACAACATTATATAATTGGATTGCAAGCAATAAAGTAAGAAAATGTTTCTTTGGGTAATCTAACCTCTTTCTATTCCGCTTTATTCGACGCCAGCTTAATTCATTGTTTAATTTGGTTATTTTAACAACGTAATGTATTGCGAGTGTCAATTTCCCGTTTTATTTCGAAGATTTAAATTATTGCTTAACATCGATCTTTATAAGCTGAAAATATTATACTATACATTACGTGAGTTGAAGTATAATAATACTACTTTTATAAATTGAGCAATTTATTTAATCCGCCAGGCCATTGTAATATAATAAAACTTCTTCTCAAGAGCAAATCAATTATTTAACTGGCATCGATATCGAATGGCATCATTAGACCTCGAAAGGTTTTCAGACAACTACAAATTTCCGTAAGTTCCTTGAGGTAAATTACACCTCTCTTGAGCAATGCAGTTTCGCAATAATTACACTTAATTAAGGGAAAATTAGCCATTAACACGTACACATAAGGACACCAACAAAGGCACTTGCTCCGCCAGAACTTCGGCTCCGCCAACAAAAAAACAGGCAATGTCGCCGTTTGTTTTCAACAAAACGATGATAAAACAAGAACAAAGCAGCAGTGGCATAGAGTGGAAAGCGCGACAGCAAATTTTTGTATTTAATTGGTAAACATCGAGGGCGCGAAGACAACACATAAATTCTTAAACATACATACATGCACATAAGTAAATATATCTGTTAAAGTCACAAGACAGAAGACACAGTTGTGAAGGTGCAGGAGGAAAACAGCTAGTACATGAGTACTAACGACATAAACATACTGTCTACTGTCTTACCGCAATTACTGCGGCACCACAATGGGTGGTAATCAATTCCTTAAGCACACAGCGGAGGCTATAACTTTTTTATGGCTAAGCGTAAAATAATTTACGGGGAAATAACGACTTTTCTGTAGTGACGACAAAAGTTCAACTTGCGCAGAATTCAAAATGCAAATGCAAAGTCAAAGGTGAGATGTTTTCCCAAACTCGTGCTTACTTGTGTAGAGTATATACATAAGTATGTATCTAAGGCTAAGACCTGTTGCGAATGGCAGCCGTTTATTGCATATGAGTATTTGTAGAAGAGTGTATCATATTAGGTGGAGCATAAAATAAACTTAAGCAAATACAAGCGATTTCAGAGGGTACTTTGGCTCAAAATTCGGCGAGGAAGTTGTTAAAAGGTGGGCATAAAATGTACGTGAGTGAAATTCTTAAGCCTCTTAAGGAATTGCTACTCCATTGTGACTGCAGATCTAAGGATATTTTAAGCGTTAACGTTAATTAAGTAGGTTTATAAATAGAAGCACACTTACGTGTGACCGCCCCTGTCAAGTACGGTACAAGCGAGAACATCACTCAGAGAACTTTAGGTTCAAATATTATATGAAGAAATCTAAATCGTATTTCGAATATTAAAATAGGCCCAAACAACTATAAACTTTTTCGACTTCGTAATATACGATATTATATTTAGCTAGCTATAGATAAAACCCTTATATATTGAAATAAATACAAAGACTTAGAGGTATTATTTTATACTCACGAATTGGAACACGTCAAAATTTAAGTTCCGAATATTCTAATATAATCATCTCTAATTACATACCATCTATGAAAATTCTATAAAGCCTTACATAAAACGCCGAATATCTCGAGAAGTATTAATGATAGCGATTTTGAGCTCGGACCTTTTTGGTAGCTAATACCATTTCCTATAAGTTTGTCATGTACATTTTTTCTATAGCTCTTACTCATTTACGAGATATATACAAAGAAATGCGAATTTCGTGGAAAAATCAGGCTTAGAGCCCCGTACTACCTCGCCGGTGTGAGTTTCGACTTTGTTGCAATGAGCAAATGGACTGTTTAATTCTGAGGAATATGTGTCTAAAGTCAAAGCGATGCCATAAAATGATTAAATAAATGATAAAACGATTGTCGTGTATTTTCAATGGAAAATTTTGATATGCCTTGGTCCAGTCCTTAATGTTCATATTAAGGGCTCAAATTTTCAAGGAATTTTTTTAGGGTATTTCCAAGGAAATTTCGATGAGATTGAAAAAAAATAATAGTTCAAAAAAACCCTAATATATACCATTCCTTTAAATTGTCATGCCACATTCTTTAAAATACTCGGTTGCAATTTCATTATTACATGTATTTTTAAATAGGCACTTAGGTTAAATAAAGGTGCGTTAAATATTAAAGAGCAGAGACACACTTGTTGCCAGACAAGAGATCAAATGCCTGTGAAGCTGGTGAAGTACACATTTAAAATAAGATGAAATAATTTTTGATTATTTTAAATTTTTTATATATTGTATGTACAAAAAGGAAGAGTGGACTATAAAAAATATAAAAAAAAATTATAAAGAATTTACCTACAAATTTATTAAAAAATAAAAATGCAAATTCACATCAAAGTACAATTCTTTTATAAAAAAAAATCTGAAACTCAAGTTTCGATGAAATGTTAAAAATCAAAAAAGTAAATACATATAGTATATATCTTAGTTAAGAAATAGAAAACCCCTAAAGTACGTTGTGTGATAACTTCAATTTAAAATAAGAAAAAACGTGAACTTCGACTGCACCGAAGCTAATATACCCTTCACAGGTGCATTTCTTTTAATAACTATGTGTCCAGTTTGTATGGCACCTATATGCTATAGTTACCCGATTTGAAGAATTTCTTCGGAGATTACATTGTTGCCTTAGAATATAATCTATACCAAATTTCGTGAATACATATGCATATGCAAAAGTTTTCCATACCAGCACTAAATTCAGATCATTTAGTTCGTATGGCAGCTATATGCTATAGTAAGCCGATCGGAATAATTTCTTCGTATATTACATTACTATCTTAGAAAGTAACCTGTGACAACTTTTGTCAAATGTGAAAGTTTTCCATACAAGAAATTGATTATGATCGTTCATTTTGTATGGCAGTTATATGTTATAGTGGTCCGATATCGGCAGTTCCAACAAATGAGCAGCTCCTTGAAGAGAAAGTGACGTTTACAAAATTTCAAAACGATATCTTAAAAACTGATTGACTAGTTCGCATATATACAGACAGATAGACGGACAGACTGACAGACAGTCAGACATGAACAAGTCGACTCAACTCAATCATTTATATACATATATACTTTATAGGATCTCCGACGCTTCCTTTTGGGTGTTACAAACTTCGTGACAGACTTAATATACCCGGATCAAGGTATAACAAGAAAAACCGTTGACTTTGACTCACCGAAGCTATAATACATATCACACGTGCATTTCTCAAAGCATAAAAGGATATTTATCTCGATTTTGATCCTTTAGTTTATATGGCTCATATATGATATAGTATGGAAAAACAGAAGACCATAGCTAAATCGACTCAGCTCATCATCCTAATCATTTATATATACATACATATACTTTAGAGGGTCTTTGACGTTTATTTCTCAGTGTCATTTAGTGCAACAGCTCTGTTTGGGATATAATCAACAATATATGTACATATGTATATAATACAAGAA